TAAAACAATTTTAACGATTTGAACGCGAAATATATTAATAAATTTATTTACATTTTATTTTAACTGCGGCATGTCGCGACGCGGAGATTTAGCCCGTGACCACAGCTTCTGCAAAGCATCCGAAACGTCGGGCCGTAGTTAAAAACAACAGAACGATACGATAACAAAAATAATATTTTGCGTTTGAAACCGTTAAAAGTGCTTTATCTAAATGTGTATGTTACATATTCTATAGATTGTCATTAATTGCATTACCTTAAAGGAATACGATAAGAGTAAATTGGTGTATTTCTGTTGAAATTAAATCAGATTAGAATTCAAAACAGAGAGCTTATTAGGGATTTTGATTGAATGAAGCCACCGGCCAATAGGAGAACAATAAAATAGACTTACCGGATTTCTGAAACGTTTAAGCCCCATAGCCATTGCTAGCCCCAAGCTAATCCCACCCTTTGACTGCATGATATTTCATATATGAAATTATGATAAAGGTTTTATTTCTATCCCTCATTCTTTGTCTCTTTAATTATCTTTATACGTAGATGAGCGTGAATGCAGTGCATTAGTTCTGTTATTTGTCTTTTAGATATGTATTGTACTATTAGACTTCATCTGAAGACGATGACGTTTCATGTTGAACATGAAAATTTCGCGAGGTCCACGCACAAAGGTCGTGAAGTTTAATTCCGTTTGGGTTTCAGTCTGTGGATTCCGAATATCCAAAGCAAAAAAATAGATCCGTGTTGTGATATTATACGGAGTAGTTTACTCTCCATTAAGTTAAACTCATGCTTGCCTTTCTTCCTTTATAATAAAAAATCTTACTTAAGACCCGTCTTACTCATAATATATAACTAAATTGTGTGAAATCCCGTTTCCCCTCATGGGGCGAACACATTTCTATGTCCGTTTCACTGATCGACTTTATTTACAGGTAAGTAGTTGATCAGACTTCTGTGCCCTGCCCGACCGAAACAATCTATTGTTTCCCCGGGATTCGAACCCAGGACCTCTCGCGCTTTCCACACGTTTAACCAATTCGCCACAGAGGCGGTCTATATAGCTAAATTACCATTATTTAATTGCTAAATAAAAATGCTTCGTTCCCAATTGAACACTGTGTTGGTTATATCATTATCGAACCCTCTAGAACGAGTACATAGTTTATGTAAAGCGTTCAACACCCTCTATTGTTTCGGGCATGATAAATTAGCTCAGCTTACCTGTCGCTAGGATTAGCTGCCGAGACTGTACCGCCAGTCGGCACCCCATACAACTCGCTTTTTATTTGCATTTGATTAATTCATCTTGAACAATACCCACTAATTTGACGAGTTCGTATTGTTGATAAAGTGTACCCGGTGACGTTTGGATGGAAATATTTATGGGCGATTGCGAACCGAAAATATGGTTGGCATTTACATTTAGTTTCAAAAAAGAAGTAACATGTTTCAAAGACAGGACTCAAACCCATGACGGATAAAGTACCACGCTCTTGGGCTGATAAATCGGAATGTTGTTTACTATACTGATGATGAATAGTTTATTTCTGTTTGAACGCGCTAATCTAGGAAAGTACTGGTTCGAATTGGAAATGTCTGTAGTGTTAGTTGCACCATTTATCGAGGAAGGTTTTAGGATTAAAACAACACGCTACCATTAATAGGAGCGCAGATATATAGGGACATGTGGAAAAAAAGGGGAACCCATCCATCTTGCAGGTTTTACGTTTCGTGCCCTGCGAAAACGGTTTAAGATACCCAAAAATATGTATGAATGAATTTTTCATGATTAAAATATCTTTTAAGATTACTATACTATCAAGAACGACGAGACGGGCGGCATCGCGGGTAACAGCTATAAGTTACAAAGGAGGTTGTTGGCAAAATAATAATATGATGCCCAAAAAAACCATTCCACGCACATTAAGTCGCATGTAGGCGGATGTAGTATTGACATTGTTTTTTGAGATGTTAAACTCATCAAGTATATGAATGAAGAAAAAAGTTTTTCATCACTTTAAACAAGTAAATTATGTTAAAGCTTTTACAAGCCATAATGATGGCAAGAATACTTAACCATAACATCAATCTTCAGCGATGTTTCTTTACAAATAAGCGATTAGATCAAGTTTATTTTTAGTAAAGCGACCGAGTAGTGACAAATTTCGTTCGACATTATTTCATGTATCCCCGGAGGAAACAATTATGCCTCTTTAGCCTGTCTCGCCGAGTTTTTGTCGTAGGTGTTGAGTTATGACGTTAGCGTCAGCTATCTTCACGATAAATCACGGCTTTACGAGAATTTTCTCGACGAGTTACGTTTTAGCGGATTTTTCAACGCTTAACATAATCACTGGGGGGATTAACAAAACGCTGGCTCATTTCTGAAATTTAGGCATAGTTAAATTGACAGAGTCTTACTCATGGAAAGAACGTATTAATACCTATACTAATATTATAATGCTAAAGATTTTTAAATGTGCTAATTCAAGAACTACTGTTAGTTCGATTTGAAATGCATAAGATAGGCCATATATCGAGAAAGGTGTTCTTAGTCTATATAACATCACGCTGCAACCAAGTGGAGCGAAGAAACAGTGGAAAATGAGAAAACTATGGGAAGAATTATTCATGTTTGAGGGCTTTCGTTGCGTGCGCTGCGAAAACGGTTCACGATCTCCAGAAATGTGTATGAAAGAATTATTGTTTAAATGATGTAAAAAAATAACCTAAACATATTATGTCCATCTTTTAAAATTAACCCGCAAAAACTATTTTTATTTTAATCAAATTTGGTCGAAAATAATGTATTATTACCAATTATGTGTAAGAGTTTGGTTTGCCGGATAAGGTAGAATGTCTTTAAGTCCGACTTTTGTTACTTTTCATATGTCAACGCGGATGAGAGCTTTTGTAAATGTAAAACCAGAGATGTAATTTAATATACCCGAAAATTTAAATGTTGCATTGGCGACATAGTAGCTTAGTAGTTTCATAGTTACTTCTATTCTGTATGTTTACGTCTACTTCTGTAACAATAATAAAAATATTATCGTACCTACATATTTTATAGTTGCTTAGTTTGAATTTATACCCGTGTACGTTTAAGTAAATATCATTTCTCATCTACATACTTGTAGAGACATCGTGGAAAAGACACGCCAATGCCTGAAAAGCCTTTTGTTCTTTTAACACGTCATCGTTTTGTTCTTTCTAATTTTAAAACAAAAAAATGGCAAATACATTTCTTTCATTTCCAAACATAAAAATGCTTCAAAGCCATATAGAAATTGCACGTCACTGTGTAGGTAGTGTTCAGATAAAAGAACTCAGATTGCCTACCACCGTCTACTGGCCCATTGTTGAAAGACGGATGGCAAATTAAAAGCTTTCGTGCAGTTTGCTCGCAGTGATTGAGTGTGAAAAAGCACTTGGATTACTTTTTATACGAATGGAAAAATATATAAATAGTCTGGTCAACGGACCAGATGATTGATGTATACAGCATTACTAACGTGTGCGTTCGCAGGTAGATTTTATCAGGTAGTACTGTACTACGTTCGACCGAAAGTATCGTGGACTTTTCTTAGTAAATACATTTTCACTATTATACTACGGAGGCATTTAATGTGCTCGTTTGTCTAATTCTGGCAATGTATGGCTAATAATCAACGGATTGCGGGTTCGATTCCTATTAGGTGCATCGTGTTTCTATAATGTTTCTAAAACATACTTATACTGGGACTATAACATCTGGATACTAAATGAGTGTTAGGAACATTGAAATATCCTCCGCAAACCACTAATCAACAGATGAGCCATAAGTGTAATCGCGTTTCAGTTTTAGTCAACTCAAAATAGGTCGTCATCATCATTTTTTTTTAATAAAATAAAATTCATTTATTTCCAATACAATCATTCACATAAAAATAGCAATTACAGATGGAAATTAAGAAACCAAAGAGGGTAATTTTTTTTTTGTTTTAGTTCTATGGCTGGAATATTTTACCATCATACAAAAGAACCTCATGCTCGTCTCTTCTCTTCTGTCATAAATAAAATGGCCGACCTTCATAGTGGGTTGGCTATAATAGAGCTACAAAAAACTATTCATGAATATAAAATGACATGAGTGATATATAGACTTAAATGAACCAAATGAATAATGCAATTATTCATAGTATTATTACATTTACAATTTATTACTCTTAAAGTGATACGCGAAACATGAATCCCTTCAGCTTTTAAACATCGGACATGTTAATTGGCCTTTTGCACGTATGCCTAATTGCCCATAAACATTTTTAAAAGCTCGAGGAGTACGAGAAGACCGTAGCTTATCGCTTTTTTGTATTCACTCCCTGAATTTTAATACGATATACTGGTTCGTTGGTCCAGTGGAAGCGATGTATGGTTGATAACAATTGGCTGTGGAGTTGATTCCAACCGGGATATCTTTTATATCTGATTCTTAGGTTGGCCCAAACTCTGGGAAAATCGATATTAAATATTATTAAAAAAATATCGAAACACGAGATATCGCGGGTGGAAAAGTGACAAATTTCACGTTCAGTTCAATTTGTGGAATTCCAGATGTTAAAATATAAGGTGACAGCCTAAATCTTCATTGAATGTACTAGAGATGTGGATTTTCACTTTCCATGAAGAAATTTTCTGCTGTGCTTCACAATTGTGTTAATGGTGTTCGCTAAGCAGTTAATAATCTCAAGCCCCAAACGGGCGAATTATAATATCATATCTACGTCTAAATTATTTGAAAAGCGCAGCACCACAGACGAAAAAAGAATGTTGGCCGTGGTCCTTTGAAATGCCCATCAGGGGCGATCGCAAAGCTGTCACTCCCAGAAGGAGGCTTAGCTATGAAAATTTCAAACCAGCCTTTGAAACGTAGTGTACACTGCCGCGTCTATACCATAAAGTTTAAAATCACGGTTCGGCTGAACGGCGATGTATAGTGCATAACGCGATGTTAGAATTCTAGTCGTACCGAGATTTCGAGGCGCCTCGGTGGCTGGTGCGGCGCGCCTGCGTGGAAAACCTCCCTCTATTGGTGTAGGGTGACGTCATCGGGGTGAAAACGTAGGTCTGAGTGTTAGTAACAGTCACCCCGCGGCTGTCGGAGGGTTGTCTCGCGATTCTAGCGGCGATATCCAAACAATCGGTCCAATTGCTGATCACCTCAGCTGTGATAAACAATCAAGTGTAATCAGATACTTAAGTGACGCTACTTTGCATATAACGGGAAGTTCATAAGGTAATGTTTGTTGTTCGCATTTCGCGAAAGCTGGACGTGCGAGCGATGTTTTCTTCTTGTTTGCATTCAGATGTTTTGGCGACATTTCTCGGTTGAAAGCCAAGTATTTTCTGACGTTGAATTCCTTTAAAATAGGGGTAAAAGAGGTTAAGTACTCTGTTATTGTTTCGGGGAATTCTGAAATATGCATGACTTACGCGGACGCGCAATCAGACGAAAACTTTCTAGTGTGTTCATAGTAGAATTGCAAAATATAATAAGAGTAACTTGAAATTTTAATGATCGAATAAGATATCTGAGAATAATGTTTGTGCTAAGAAAGACCGCAACACAGACAAAAATATAAACCTTTTGTAACATTCATTAATGGAATACGTCTTACCAAGCCTAACGAACACACAATGAAAGCTTGTGAATACAGCGATGTATTGAGGCGTATTACTCAGTACTTAGTAAACAGCTTGAAAACGGGAAAATAAAAATGCGTACACACGTAACAACCCCGACGTTTTATTTAATGTAGAGGCCGTGTGGAAATAGGCAGATACGCTACGCTTTTAAATTGTGAAGACACATTTCGTGTTTCCGAAACGAAGTTATGTTTTGAAATACAGCATTAAAATTTGTCCTTAGTTTTTATTCCATTATATTGTATTATTTTTATTAATACTTTAAAGGAGAGGTAGTTTTTAAGTACGCTTAATGTAGATGGAATATAATCATAATCAAAATAAATATTTATTTATAGTACTGAAATTGCTTTAAATTAAAATGTTTCTTTTTATACCATTTATAATACTTAAATATCGTATTTACTATTTATGAGTCATATTACACTCTATTAACTCTACTATTAACGTTTCTGAAAATTAATTTGAGTGTACAGATAGAAGCTTTAAAATTTAATTCACTCCAAACACGTTGACTGAAATTTTTAATAGCTGTTTCAATTATTTTCTTCATTAAGATTCGCAAGAAGGGAAACACCAAATAAAAATATGGACGAATAAAATAGAATCTTTAATTGCAGCGGTGGGAACGAGTGCGGAGTTAACAAACCATCGGCGGATCTCGACAAAAATTTGAATATTCAAAAGAATAAAGTTATAATAGGCATAGGATCGTTTTGGTGGTAATGGCTTTGGTAGTGGCTCATTTATATGTAATGGAAGGTTCATAATAATAGTTAAGGGCGGTTTAAGAATTGCTTGTTTTGAAATAGGTAACTCCCATTTGCGATAATAAAATGGAGATAATGGTTCTCTTGATGGTAGGTGAAATGCAACCATATAACATCTATGCGAGATGCAATGTCGACCCATTTTAGCTTTGGATATTCGGAAATCCGTAGACTAAACCCAAATGCTATTAAACTTCACGGCTTTTCCATCTGTTCGCGGTGGTTCACCCATGTAATATCCAGATTTCCAGACTAAGTCTAACATGTTTCAGAAAAATTATTGAAATGGATTGATTAGAAAATGTTGGATTTAATTGGGATCGAATCCACTACCGGGTAATTATTTGCCATACATTGCTGCCAATACATCAACAAGCTCGTCAATAAAGCCTATTATAGCTTTGTAGAAACAGAGGTCTAAGGTTTGATCCCTGAGCTATTCCTATCAGATATCAGAGACTTAGTTAGATAAATATGATTTGTAACTCCAATTCTTGAAATATATAATTATCTACTAATTATCTCACAGGTAGAAAAAACAAATTATTGGAAAATTAACTTGCAATTGGCAGTTTTAATTATTTTATCAACTGCTTATTTTATCAAAAGGACATTCGTATAGCGTACAGTTACGGCGAAGTGAAAGAAAGTCTACATATAAATATAACGATATGAAAGCTATCGTGGCCGGAATAAGGTTTTAACTGCGAGTTAAATGAGCTTTTATTTTTCTTTGTACTTCTTTAAACACGTTTTTCTTTAATGCTTTACGCCGCTTTGAATTTTGGGTCGACTGTTATGTCCGTGACCTATCTTTTATTTTCTGCAACGTTGCATTTGTAATGTTATTTCTCAAGTAACAGGCAAAGCTTAAGTTTTATAAAATAAACAATAATGTTACTTTAATAGTTAAAGATGATATATTTTATTCTATGCTACTAAGACAAGTAATACGTCGTTCATAAACTAGAGTTAGGCAACTTTAATAGCGTGATAGATAGTTACGTATTATCGAGAAGTTACCTCAAGCAATAACTTGAAAACTTAAACCCAAATTCTAAAAAAAACAATAGGTTTATATTTTTATGGTGTCCCAGGTGACAACAATGCTGCAAAGAATCTAAAATCTTGGGGCGTAGTTATTTTGCGTTTTAAAGCATCAAATGTTAAATTTATAAATACGCATATAGTTGTACAAATTATAGGCAACAAATACAAATATTTCTATGACATTTGTATTGACAAAAAACCTTGTTCTCTAACAGACTAGGCTACAAAATTTTTCTTTATTACCTAGAAAAATCTCAGGAGAAATTTCATTCTTTATACATAGTTGGTACTTAAAAATGCTATAAATTCGTAGAGGAAGTATTGTTCATCGTTTTCCATCGATTCATATCATGTGCCAGAATCTAATTAATATAGGATATAAGAAGATACAAAAGCAATTACAGAACACATGTGCGCACAGAATACCAATATTGCGACTAATCAGTTGAACAAAGGCGGCAAGTCAGCTATTTGAAAGCAATACGTCTTTTTGTAAAAAGTTTAATTACGTTTCGTTGTTTTTTTCACTGGCGTTATAGATAGCTATTAGTAGGTGTAATGTTATATCTTGAATGATTTATGGAATACAAATTAACTTATAAAGTAACTAGTGTGTCAGCGACTTTGTCCGCGTAGAATACTTATTTTGGGCTCCAAAATTTGTTTTTGCAAACGTCTTCATCTTTATAAATTAAAACTATTTCAAAATGTCGGTCTCGTTCTGTCGTTCTTGCTAGGTAATCTTAAAAATCGCACAAACTGTCGCGAACATTTTTTTCTCTCCTATTAGTCCCAGTGCGATGTTTTATAGTCTATAGCCTTTCCCAATAATTGTTCTAACTAACACAAAAATATTTTGTCAATTCCAATCAGTAGTTTCTGAGATTAGCGCGTTCAAACAAAGAAACTAACAAACTCTAGCTTTACATAGTACAGATTTGAGATTAAATTGCTTCGTTAACTGTAAACCTTACAAACAGACAGGTAAAAAGTATTATTTGGTTTCATTGTAGAATTCAGTTACTGATTGAACAGTTGGAGAAGAATAATAATGGTTGTTAGAAATTTTAATTTATTATAATACCATAAAAGGTGGAACAAAAATGTTTCTCGATTATTTTATTGTGCATAAAGAGGATTTATAAATGATATCGTTATTTATTGCCGAGCTAAAGTTTTTAAAGGCTGTATGCTATAACTGTCAAAATTATCGTTCTATAATATAAATAAAGTATAGAAATTTTTTAAGAATTCTTTATTATTGTACAATACTAATCCTTAGGTCTTTGATGGTTTGCTTCAAGATCTCTTAGGTTTATTTGATTAGAAAGACCTGTAATGTTTTCAAGCTTTTTTAATGATAGAGGAGGACAACATGCCATGTTGGCATGGTGTTCACTTGATGGTAGGTGGTATACCCTAGTCTGTACCATCTAAACAAGATCGGCTGTCGACCTATTTTGGCTTTGAATATTCGGGAATCCACAAACTAAAACCGAAACGCGATTAAGCTTCACAGCGTTTTCTGTGGTTCGTGACCCGGACGTAATTCCTATATTCCTACCACCCATTTAATTCCAGATATCCAGACAAAGTACAACATGTTTCAGAAAAATTATAAATTGAAATTTGAAACTGTTGGACCTGTGTTGGATCCACGACCCGTTGATTGCTACCATTAGACCAACGGGCCCGTGCATTATTTTATCATTTTCTGCTGTCACTTTACAGCCTCAAGAGCAAAAGTTAAGGGTTTATTGTGATCGGTATAATTAATTAGTCTAGCGTTAATTAATTCTCAAGTCCGTTCTACCTAAATACCTTGTTAACGCCCGTACATTTAATTTTAATATTATGCAGATGAGTCAAAACGCTGCAACTGAGAATTGACCCAATTTATCTTGTAAATACGGATTGCGCCAAATTCGTTTGGCTAACTAGCGTGAAACAACATTACTATGTATTGCGAATATACTAAAAGAGATTGCTAGAAGAATTTTATCCGTAGATAGGTCGATCTATCGGCGTTTCGGGATAATCACACCTAATTTGATTGGCCCTCGAGCATCTGCCAACTTGAACGATACAGTAACTCGGGAGTTAGGAGAAAATTACATACAAGTGCGGGGATATTACGAAAATGTTTTCGTAGCCATTTCTTCGAGTGTATAATAAGTATCAATAGTTTAAATAAAACACTTTAACGGTTTAAAACGTGAAATTCATTAGTTTACGGTTGGTTATGACGCTCCCCGTGACCACGGCTGCTGCAAAGCATCCGAAACGTTGGGCCGTAGTTTAAATAATTTTCAAATAAGTCTAACTGATATATATCGCGTTTTAAATCGTTGAAGTGTTTTATTTCAATTGTCTATAAACTTCTTCTTCTTATGAATAGTTTAGATTTGACGAAAAAAGTAGACTGATTGTAATATTTTTTTTTGAGTTTAATATACGTATAAGAATGTTGGTATCTTTTTTAGTTTTTTTCTCTATATATTGAGTATAAGGCTACATTTTATAGTATGCAGTGGTGGAAATAATGAAAAGCTCAGCGTTTGTAAAGCCATTCGTCATCCAACTGAAAACCGCTGTGTGCTCAATACTTGACGTTGATGATTTATGTTATATGCAAAACGACAAAATACTATAATCCGAAATTTTGACGGCTGCAAGAGCCTTCGTATTTATAATATGTCATATAAACTTGTATTGTTTAATATATGGTTTCATTTCGTTAACTCAAGTCAAAAATGAAAAATTAGTAGTATTTTATTAAAACAATTCAAGAAATACTGAGAAATTAAAATAAAAGACTTCAATTGATTTGAAACGCGATATATTTTCTAATTTAATTTTTAAGCTCCCTATACCTAGCTGACCTCGGCCATAGTGATATTTCTCATCTTGAACCGTTAAAAGAGTTTTATTTCAATGTATATTACTCGCATATCATATTTATTTAGGTAGAGATAAAGTTGTCTTAAAATACACAATAGCTAGAATG